TGCAAGGCTGGTTCAACATACACAAGTCTATTAATGTAATCCACCACATAAACAGAACCAAAGACAAAAAAACCACATGATTATCTCAATAGATGTAGAGAAGGCCTTTTAAAAATTCAGCAGCCCCTTATGCTAAAAACTCTCAATAAACTAGGTATCAAAGGAACATATCTCAAAATAATAAAAGCTATTTATGACAAACCAACAGCCAATATCATACTGAATGGGCAAAAACTGGAAGCACTCCCTTTGAAATCTGGCACTAGACAAAGATGCCCTCTATCACCACTCCTATTGGATATAGTATTGGAAGTTCTAGCTAGAACAATTAGGCAAGAAAAAAAAAAAATAAAGGGGATTCAATTAGGAAAAGAGGAAGTCAAATTGTCTCTATTTGAAGTCGACATGATTGTATATTTAGACAGCCCTATCATCTCAGCCCAAAATCTCCTGAAACTGATAAGCAACTTCAGCAAAGTCTCAGGATACAAAATCAATGTGCAGAAATCACAAGCGTTTCTATACACCAATAATGGACTAACAGAGAGCCAAATCAAGAGCAAACTCCCATTCACAATTGCTACAAAGAGAATAAAATACCTAGGAATACAACTAACAAAGGATGTAAAGGACCTCTTCAAGGAGAACTACAAACCACTGCTCAACAAAATAAGAGGACACAAACAAATGGTGAAAAATTCCATGCTCCTGGTTAGGAAGAATCAATATTTTGAAAATGGCCGTACTGCCCAGAGTAATTTATAGATTCAACACTATCCCCATCAAGCTACCAATGACCTTCTTCACAGAGTGGGAAAAAAACCACCTTAAACTTCATATGGAACCAAAAGAGAGCCTGCATAGTCAAGACAATCCTAAGCAAAAAGAACAAAGCTGGAGGCATCACGTGACCTGATTTCAAACTATACTACAAAGCTACAGTAATCAAAACAGCATGGTACTGGTACCAAAACAGAGATAAAGACAAATGGAACAGAACAGAGGCATTGGAGCCAATGCCACACATCTATAACCATCTGATCTTTGAGAAACCTGACAAAAACAAGCAATGGGGAAAGGAGTCCCTGTTTAATAAATCATGTTGGGAAAACTGGCTAGCAGTGTGCAGAAAGCAGAAACTGGACCCCTTCCTGACACCTTACACTAATATTAACTCCAGATGGGTTAAAGACTTAAACCTAAGGCCTAACACCGTAAAAACCCTAGAAGAAAACCTAGGCAAAGCCATTCAGGACTTAGGCATAGGGAAGGACTTCATGACTAAAACACCAAAAGCATTGGCAACAAAAGCCAAAATAGACAAATGAGACCTAATTAAACTCCAGAGCTTCTGTACAGCAAAAGAAATAATCACTAGAGTGAATTGGCAACCAACAGGATGGGAAAAAATTTTTGCAGTCTACCCATCTGATAAAGGGCTAATATCCAGAATCTATAAAGAACTAAAACAGATTTACAAGAAAAAAGCAAAGAAACCCATCCAAAAGTGGGCAAAGGATGTGAATAGACACTTTTCAAAAGAAGACATATATGAGGCCAACAAACATATGAAAAAATGCTCATCATCACTGATTATTAGAGAAATGCAAATCAAAACTATTGAGATACCATCTCATGCCAGTTAGAATGGTGATCTTTAAAAAATCTGGAGACAACAGATGCTGGAGAGGATGTGGAGAAATAGGAACACTTTTACACTGTTGGTGGGAGTGTAAACTAGTTCAACCATTATGGCGCTTCCTCAAGGACCTGGAAATAGAAATTCCATTTGACCCAGCAATCCCATTACTGGGTATATACCCAAAAGATTATAAATCATTCTATTATAAAGACACATGCACACATATGTTCATAGCGGCACTGTTTACAATAGCAAAGACCTGGAACCAACCCAAATGTCCACTGATGATGGACTGGACAAGGAAAATGTGGCACATATACACCATGGAATACTATGCAGCCACAAAAAAACGATGAGTTCATGTCCTTTGTAGGGACATGGATGAACCTGGAAACCATCATTCTCAGCAAACTGACACAAGAACAGAAAATCAAACACTGCATGTTCTCACTCATAGGTGGGTGTTGAACAATGAGAACACATGGACACAGGGAGGGGAGCATCACACACTAGGGTCTGTTGGGCGGGCCATGGGAGAGACAGGGTGGGGTGCAGAGGTTGGGGAGGGATAACATAGGGAGAAATGCCAGATGTAGGTGACCGGGGGATGGAGGCAGCAAACCACATTGCCATGTGTGTACCCATGCAACAATCCTGCATGATCTGCACATGTACCCCAGAACCTAAAGTACAATTAAAAAAACAAACAAAAAAAAAAACCCCAATAGTGCTTCTAAATGAATTAAAGGATAAATACACTGTGCAGCCTGAATACCTTTTAAAATTATAAAAGAATAAATTCTAGATGAATACATTTATGAATTACATATTTTATAATGCTTCATAGCTTATCCCAGTCTCTAACATTTATTGTTAATATTTACCAGGCCATGTCACTTATCATGCCTACTTAATCCTCACAACAACCCCAGAAGGTAAGTAATGTTATAATGCACATATTATAGATGATGAAATTAAAACTTAAAGAAAAGGGAACATAATTAAACTACAGAGCTTCTGCACAGCAAAAGAAATTATCAAAAGATTAAACGGACAACCTACAGAATGGAAGAAAATAAGGGCTCATTTGACAAAGGGCTCATATCCAGAACCTACAAAAAATCCAAACAACTCAACAAGAAAAAAACAACCCCATTAAAAAGTGGGCAAAGTACATGAACATATATTTTTCAAAAGAAGACATACAAGCAGCCAGCAAACATGAAAAAATACTCCACATCACTAATCATCATAGAAATGCAAATTAAAACCAGAATGAGATGCCATCGCACACCATCAGAATGCTTATTATTAAAAAGTCAAAAACCATCAGATGTTGGCAAAGATGCAAAGAAAAGGGAACACTTATACATCGTTGGAGGGAATACAAATTAGTATAACCTCTGTGGAAAACAGTATGGAGATTTCTCAAAGAACTAAAAATAGGACTACCTTTTTATCCAGCAATCCCACTACTGAATATCTTCCAAAAGCAAAAGAAGTTATTATATAAAAGAAATAATTGCTGGGCACAGTGGTTTATGCCTGTATTCCCAGCACTTTGGGAGGTTGAGGTGGGAGGACCACTTGAGCCCAAGAGTTTGAGACCAGTTTGGGCAACATAGGGAGACTCTGCCTCTACAAATAATTTTTTAAAATTTAGCCTGGCATGGTGGTGTGTGATTATGGTCCCAGATACTCAGGAGGCTGAGGTGGGAGGATAGCGTGAGCCCAAGAGGTTGATGCTGCAGTAAGCCATGATCACACCATTGCATTCCAGCCTGGGCAACAGAGTAAGACCCTATCTCAAAAAAAAATCATTATATAAAAAAGACACCTGCACTTGTATGATTATCACAGCACTATACACAATAGCAAAGTCATGGAATCAATCTAAATGTCCATCAATGGATGACTGGATTAATATGTGGGATATAGTTACACCATGGAATACTACTTGGCCATAAAAAATAATAAAATCATGTATTTTACAGCAACATTAATGAAACTGGAGGCCATCCTTAATGAAATCATGCAGTAACAGAAAGTAAAAAAACACATGTTCTCACTTGTAAGTGGGAGCTAAACAATGGGTACACATGGACACACAGAGTAGAATAGTAGACATTGGAGACTCCAAGAGGTAGGAGGGTGAGAGGGCGTGAGAGATAAAATACTATTTGGTGCGATGTACAGTATTTGAGTGATGGGTACACTAAAAGCTCAGACTTCACCACTATGCAATATATACACATAATACAACTGTGCTTGTAGCCCTAAATCCATTAAAAAAAAAAAAAAAAAGAAACTTAAGAAAAAAGAAAAGTACTCCGCTAACACCAAACAACCAGGATTCAAACTCGTCTTCTCATTTCAATCTTAAACAAAATGTTATGCTAACTCTACTTAAAGTAAAAAAGTTTATCTTTAATTGCAATTACTGATTCTTTATTAAGCTTCTAAGTAAGTGAAACCATTTCTGAGAAATGCCTGGTACTTGACATATAATAGGAAAATGAAAATTTCTCATTCATTCCACAAACATTTCCTGAATATCTACTAGGTAAGCCAGGCATTGTTCTAGGCCAGGGGTGAATGAAACAAAGTGCTTGCACTATGAGTTTAGATTTCTTTTCTGAAATGTTTATGATTATAAACACATAAAAAGTAGGCAAATCTTACAACATTTAGAAAATATTATCTGAACCCACATTTTAAGGTTAGTTCATTTGTGAACTATATAACTAAACTCCTGAATGCCTCAGTGAAATTCCTCAATTTCTCCACAAGGGACTGTGTTCTAGCTAGCCCACTGAAATACATGACTTTGGCCCCAAAAGGGACTGGAGGAATTAATCTGTTCAAGTCATTCCTCAGGACTGGGAATCATCTTAAAGCTATTCAACTTTTATGGAGTACTTAGGAGTTGCATACTAACTGTAAAACATAAAGAATAAGGGAGAAATGTTAGGTGTGCTCCTGAAGAAGGTAGACTGATACAAAAAGAAATAGGACAGCCTTGAGAATGACCCTTGTTAATTTAAGCTGGTTTGCTAATACTTTCTTCAAGACTTGGCTAAAAACATCTTCTGTAAGCCAGCACTGAACTCCTTAGGTATGTTTAGTGGGTCATTGCTCTTTGTGAACCCATAGCAGTTTGTGATGGCAAATAATTTGATCAGCAGCATGTCTGTGTGTAGCTTTAGGGAAGTACTTAGTGATTAAAAAAAAAAAAGGTTAAATGAATTTGCTTTCCTATTTTAAGACAAATCCTCTCTAGCCCTAAATTATGCTATAAAGATCAGCAAAATAGTCTAAGGAAATTAAAGACCAGAAAAATTAAACCTATGCTTTTTACCTTTAAAGATAGGGATCCAGCTAGAAAAAAGTGGTCGACATCAATAGCAGATGCTAAAAATCCAGCTAAAATGATTTCTCCGAAGTCAGTCTTCTTCTTGATTCCAATGACTACTGCCCATGACCACATGCCAATCACACAATGTACTGCATTATCTGAGAGAGCGCGAAGCCAGTCATTTTGCTGAATTGTGGAAAACTGAAGAAGTCTGTCAGCCACAAGGCAAAATACCCCCAGACCAAGGCTGGAAATAAGAGATTCAGTGCTACAAGTCTGCAGTAAAGCATGGGTCTTTTCAGTCTCAGATGCCATCACAAACAATATGTTAGTATAGACTAAAAGCCATCAGGAATGAACAGTCTATTCTTCTTTATATTTCCAGCACCCTAAAGGAGAAAGTAGAGAAAAATGTGAATGAAGATTATGGACTGCCATATAATGTTTAAACAAAACAGTATCAACAATAATTGTACAAATATAAAACCAAGATGTAAATACTGTCATTTCTTACATGTTATATATAATATGCCACATAGCTCAAGGAGAATAGTATTTTTAGGTACAACAGGGTACATGGTATGCATCAAGGAGAATTTTAGAAAGCCCACCAACTGCAATCTCTTGCTTTAAGGTCATCAAATAGTTCTATATCTCAGCTGTGTGTACTACAGGGTGGTGAATATCCATTGGGTTTGTGTATCCAACAACTACTTTCCATACATCTGACAACAGTAACCCCTTCCTTTGGGAAAACTTTCTCACATTAAACTTCAGAATTCACCAATTAGAGTTTTCAATTTCCCTAATAATGGTGATAAATTTACTAATGAAAGTAGCCAATCAGACTCCTTTCCAAAATTTTTCTTAGTGGAGTTGGTGGAGAAAGTTCCTCTTCATCTTGAAGGCCATGGGCTCCACTACATGAAAAACCACAGGAAAATAAAATCCCAGAGACAGAAAGGAGAAAGGCTAATAGAATCATGAAGACAGTGAGTACTTATGTCCAATGCCTAAAGGTTCTCAGAGCTACCCTAGATCTTGCAGCTCACCCTCCGTTTCTATGAGCTACCCTAGCATTTTCCCAATAAATCCCCTTTTAATTTCTGTTGCCTTGAACCAAATAACCTTAGCTGATATAAAAATGCAATCATAATTCCATGCTGAGTTCTCACCTGGCACAGTATATTGACTTTATTTACCTAGCTAGAAAGTATTTGTCTACCCCAGTCTCTTGAGTAGCTGGAGACATAGGTGTGTGTCACCACACCTAATTTTTTTTTTTTTTTCTTAAAAGAGACAGGGTCTCCTTATCTCTAGGGAGGCCTCAAACTCCTGGCTGGTCTTGAACTCCTGGCCTCAAGTGATCCTTGGCTTCCAAAAGTGCTGGGATTACAGGTATGTGCCACCGTGCCCAGCCTGGTCAATTAATTTTTGATAAAGGTGTAAAGATACATCAGTGATGGAAAAATATTCTCTACTGCAGCAAAGATGACTATGTTGGTGTTTGAATTGCCTCTTGGGAAGGGTTGCAGATTTTATAGTGCAGCACAATGCCTTGTGCTTCCATGGATGAGGAGACACACATGTTAAGTTTGTGGCCTTCCAGCATTTACTATTTTCAGCTTTAAAGCATGCTTAGAAGGAAAAGCTTACCAAAAGTATATTTTGACATTTAGTTTTCCATTAACTATAATCTTGCCCATAGTATTTACCTCATTTTTGTGTGTTTTGCTGTGGGTAAGCTTTATAAAATAAATGTCTATATATGTTTCTAATGTTTAATGAGTAATCAACAAAATCTGCCAGGGAGTCCCTCTGGAACCATATAAAGTTCCTGACTTTGAATGAGTCAGAAGTGTTTGTCCACATGGCAAATGATCCATGTTAAATGTAAATACATTTTAGTGTTAACGTCTGTTCTCATAAGCAGGTATATTATGATGAAACATGTACCAATTCTGTCATCACTGTGATCTTTAAAAATCTGCATTTAACAATCTAATTGAGGCCAATTGTGGTGGCTCATGCCTGTAATTCCAGCACTTTGGGAGGCCAAGGTGCGCAGATCATTTGAGGTCAGGAGTTCAAGACAAGCCTGGCCATGGTGAAACCCCGTCTCTACTAAAAATACAAAAATTAGCCAGGTGTGGTGGCACACAACTGCAATCCCAGCTACTCGGGAAGCTGAGGCACAAGAATTGCTTGAACCTGGGAGGAGTTTGCAGTGGGCTGAGATGGCACCACTGTACTCTAGCTTGCGTGACAGAGCAAGATTCTGTCTCAAGAAAAAAACAAAAACCTAAAACCAAAACAAACAAACAAACAAAAAATCTAATTGAAGAACTAAGTTGATTTATTATTTGCCATAAACCAAGCAAAAGTAAATATAATAATTTCAAAAGATTTATAAACAAATTTGAGGTATGGATAAATCTTTCACATATTTTTTTATTGCTCTTTAGTAAAGAAAGGCACAAAAAAGAAAATATCCAGCTCTCTTGTGTTATCTCAGCGTGGCGACTGCAGAAAATCAACAATGCTTGCCTGTGTAAATTTATGTCTTACTGTCAAAGCTTCATTCTTGACTGCATGTTGAAAATATGATTAAAATTAATAGAGAAGATAAAATAAATATTTGAGATTTTTTTCAATAACATTGAACTTCTGCCAGTTTTCTCTGTCTGCTACTCTAGGCTTGACAGCCTCATCAATCATTTGCTCGTGCCTGGACTAAAAAGTGCACTTGCTGACACCAACGCATGTTGGAATTTTCTTAATTATCTTTCAGTGAATGGAAAAAAAAAATACTTCCAAAAATATCCCACACATGAAAACGGAGGGGAGACTTAAATAAAAATTCCCTTTGTACCACAGACACTTTTTGGAATGCGATTAATTGCCAACATATTATTGAACGAATGTTGTAACCAAGAAATTAAGATTGTGTGAGTGGAAATATATTCTTAACCGTGGCTGCTAAACTTGTACAGCAAAGGTTTCTGATAGTTTGTATTCATCTCATGTGAATAATAAATACTTTACCAGGCTGGATGCGGTGGCTCAAACCCTGTAATATCAGCACTTTGGGAGGCTGAGGTGGATTGATCACGAGGTCAGGAGATCAAGACCATCCTGGCCAACACAGTGAAAGCCCATCTCCACTAAAATATGAAAAATTAGCCAGGTGTGGTGGTGAGTGCTTGTAGTCCCAGCTACTTGGAAGGTTGAGGCAGGGGATCGCTTGAACCCAGGAGGCGGAGGCTGCAGTGAGCCGAGATTGTGCCACTGCATTGCAGCCTGGCGACAGAGCAAGACTCCGTCTCTTTACCTTAAAAAAATAGTAACATTATTTTGGAAAAACAGTTTTCCAATTTCTCAGAAAGTTAAACGTACTCTTACCATATAACCCAGTCATTCCACATGTAGGTATTTTCCCATAGGCATTGCGTGCAAAAAGGCTTACACATGAATGTTCATAGCAACTTTATCTGAATTCATTCCAAGATGGAAATGTCTATAACATGTAAATAAACAAAAGGTGGACTAAAAAGGAACATATGACACACATAAAAACATGAATGCATCTTGATTATAGTAAGTGAAAGAAGCCAAACAAACAAAAAGTACACAGTTAAAACCCATAGAACTGTACAACACAAAGGATGAACCCTAATGTCAAGTATGGACTTCAGTCAATAATAACATATCAATATTTGTTCATTACTCGTAACAAATATACCACACTATTGCAAATGTTAATAATGGGGATTATGCAGGGCAAAGAGCATCTATGGGAATTCTCTATAATATTGGCTCGATTTTTCTGTAAACCTACAACTGCTGTTTAGGTTTATGTATTAGCCTGTTCTTGAATAGAACTATTTGAGACTGGATAATTTATTTAAAAAAAAAAAAAAGGTTTAATTGGCTCATGGTTCCACAGGCTGTATAGGAAGCATGGCTGACGAGGCCTCAGAAACTTACAATCATAGTAGAAGGTGAAGAGGAAGGAGTCACATCTTACATGGCTGGAGTAGAAGAGCAAAGTGGAAGATGCTACACACTTTAAACAGCCATATCTTGTGAGAACTCACTCACTTTACTATCATGAGAACAGCTAGGGGGAAAACTGCCCCCATGACCCAGTCACCTCCTACCAGGCCCCCTCCTCCAATACTGGGGATTACAATTTGACATGGATTTGGGTGAGGACACAAATCCAAACCATATCAGTTTATGAAGTTTATTAATTTCAAAAACTTACAAAAACTTAAAGTCCATTTATTTTTAAAAAATTAAATAAATGAAGTAATCACCAGAAAATATCATAAATTTAGGTGACAGGCATACTGCAGTTCATTATGTTGTTCTCTACTTTTCTGTATGCTTGAAATTTTCATCTAGGAATGTTTTTATTAAACTTATTTATTTTTGGAACAGGGTCTTACTGTGTTGCCCAGACTGGAGTGAAGTGGCTTGATTTTGGCTCACTGCAACCTCAACATCCTAGGCTCAGGTGATCCTCCTACCTCACCTCCTGAGTATCTGGGACTACAGGCATGAGCCATCATCCCTGGCTATATGTTTCCATTTTTATTTATTTAATGAAAAAATTCTTTCTTTATTTTTTGAGACAGGGTCTTGCTCTGTGTCCAGGCTGGAGGGCACTGGTGTGAATATGGCTCACTGCAGCATCTACCTCCTGGGCTCATGAGATCCCCCTGCCTCAGCCTCCTGAGTAGCTGGAACCACAGTCAGAGTTGACCATGTCTGGCTAATTTTTTTGTAGAGATGGGATTTCGCCATGTGACCCAGGCTGGTCTGGAACTCCTGGTCTCAAGCAATCTTCCTACCTCAGCCTCCCAAAGTACTGGGATTACAGGTGTGAGCCATTATACCTGGCCTAGAAATATGTTTTTAAAAAGAGTATACAGTATAATTCTACTTGCTTAAAATTCTACAAAATACAAACTATAGTGACAGAAAGCAGATCCATAATTTCCTGGAGACAGTAGAGGCAGGAATAATTAAAAAGGAGCATAAGAAAACTTTGGTAAGGGACACATATGTTCATTATCTTGACTGTGGTGATAGTTTAATGGTTTGCAGCTTCATACATATGTCAAAACATATCAAACTGTATCTTTTAAACATATACAGTTAATTACATGTCAATTATACTCCAACAAAGATGTTAAAAAGTTAGGAAGGTACACTTTATTGATTATAAAACAGCAGGCTTTTGTAAAAAAGGAGAAATATAAAAACAAGAAACTATGGAAATGAAAAAGTTGATTACTCAAATAAAATCTCAATGCAAAGACTACTATGCACTGAAGCAATGCATAGTAGCATGAATATTTCAAACATCAAAATTAGTAAATGAGAACATTTGTAAAGAGTTTTTCCAAAGCTTAAGGGGAAAATATAAGACAAAGAGTTGGGCATTGAAAAAATTTTTCCAAAAATAAAGAGAAAACCTTTAGAGTTTCTGTGTCAAAAAAAAAGTTATCTTCAAAAGAGAATGTGATTATCATCAACCCTAAATGTCAGAATATTGCGAGGTAACATTTACAGAAAACTAAGAGAAAAAGATCATAGACTATAGCTTTCTACACATAGCTAAATTCTGGCACCTATGTGGCAACTGTGAATTTTAAAAGTTTTGCCTCAGAAATTTTACACCCATGTATGATTTTACGGGGTAGGGGAAACTGAGGAGTAGAACTTCTCAATCTCTAGCAGGAAGGGAGACAAATAAAAAAAATTGATCAATACAGCAAGACAGAAAAGAAAAAAAAAGAAAACCTTACTTCCCCCCAGCTCACCCCAACTCTGCAAAAAGCAATAGGGACAAAATAAAATACAAATACCACAACAAATGTGAATGTGTTAAATTTCTCTAAAAGGAGACAAACATCATCAGATTGGGATGAAAGAAAACATCACTAAGTTATTGTTCAAAACAAAACACCTCAAACAAAAAGTCTTAACAATATAGAAAATAAAGAGATAAGAAAATGCATGTTTAAGAAATACAAACAAAATGAAGTAGCAATGGTAATGTTAACAGCAAACAGATAATTCAAGGTAAAAATGATCAATTAGAATTGAAAAGGATAAAATATTCATATCACCATAAAGTTCTATGGGGTAAGAGGATGCTTACATGTCAAACTACATAGCAGTAAAAAATTAAATCAAGTAGTCAAAAAAGGCATAATCTGAATAATATGATTTATAAATTTTATTTCATACTCAGGTGTACAACTTCTTATGCTATCAAGCAGTGGTCCCAATCCTTTTTGGCACCAGGGACTGGTTTTGTGGAAGACAATTTTTCCATGGACTGGGGAGGGGGATGGTTTTGGGATAATTCAAGTGCATTATATTTATTGTGCACTTTATTATTATTACATTGTAATACATAATTAAATAATTATACAACTCACCATAATGTAGAATCAGTGGGAGCCCTTACCTTGTTTTCCTGCATCTAGACAGTCCCATCTTTGGATGGTGGGAGACAGTGACAGATCATCAGGCATAAGATTCTCATAAGAAGCACACAACCTAGATCCCTTGCATGCACAGTTCACAATAGGGTTCACTCTCCAATGAGAAACTAATGCTGCCACCGATCTGAAAAGAGGGGGAGCTCAGGTGGTAATGTGAGTTATGGGGAATGGCTGTAAATACATACAAAGCTTCACTTGCTAGCCTGCCGCTCACCTCCTGCTGTGTGGCCTGGATCCTAAGGGGCCACTGATCTGTACTGGTCCATGACCCAGGGATGAGGACCTCTGCTATAAACAGTACACATTCTTTTCAAATGTTCATAGAAGCCTCATAAAGTTAACCACATATTTGAATTAGGGAGGCAGAACCAAATAGCAAAATAGAAGACTCCACTGATCATCCCCCAACACAAGTTAACAACTATCTACACAGAAAAAAACAAAAAACAAAAAACAAAAAAACCACCTTCATAAGAACCAAAAATCAGGTGAGAATAATAGTATCTGGTTTTAACTTCACATCTCTGAAAGAGAGACAGAAGAGATTTTTTAAAAAAAAAATAAGAGTCCTGAATCACGGTCGCCACCCCTCCCCTACACCTCAGAAGTGGCAGAGTGTGGCAGAGAATATCTCTGGGCACTGAGGGAGGGAGAACACAGCAGTTGTGAGGCACTGAATTCAGTGCTATCCTGTTAGAGCAGAAAGGAAAACCAGACTAAACTCGGCTGACACCCACCTACAGAGGGATCATTTAAATTAGCCCAAGCCAGAGGGGAAATGCCCATTCCATTGGTCCAAATTTGAGCCTCTGCAAGCCTTGCTACTGAGGGTTACAGTGCCCTCTGTCTCAAAGTAAATTTGAAAGGCACTGTAGGACATAAGGACTGCAACCCTTAGGTGAGTCCCAGAGCTGAACTAGACCCAGAGACAATGGACTGGGTGGGCATATGACATATTGAGACACCACATGGGATAGCCAAAGGCGTGCTGGCACCGCCCTCACATAACTACATGCTGCACATCTTGAGGCTCCAAAAAAGACTTCTTTTTGCTTGAGGAGGATATCAGCTCAACCACAGCAAAACAGGACACCGGTCAGAGTCATAAGGTCCCCATTCCCGGTCCTAGTCCCCAGCTGTCATTTCTAGACATACTCACAGCCAGAAGGAAACCTGCTGCCTTGAAGGAAAGGACCCAGAACTGGCAGCATTCATCACCTGGACCCTGAATAACCAGCAGTGATACCCAGGTACAACATCAAGGATCAAGGGCCTTGGGTGAGCCTCTGAGACTTGCTGGCTTCAGGTGAGACTCAGCAAATTATCAGCTGTGGTGGCTATGGGAAAAACTCCTTCTGCTTAAGAAAAGCAGAGGCAAAAGTAAAGGGGACTTTCTCTTTCATGTTAGGTACCAGCACAGCCGTAAGAGGATAGAGCACCAAGCAGGCTCTTGGGGTCCCTGATTCCAGGATTTCACTCTTGGATGGCATTTCTGGACCTTCCCTGGGCCAAAGAGGAGCCCACTGCCTTAAAGGGTGAGTCCCAGAATAGGCAGCATCCATCACAAGCTGACTTAAGAGACCTTGTCACTTAAGGGACATCAGCAGTATTCTGGTAGTAGTACTCTTTGTGACCTGGAGTGGTGGTGTCTATGGAGTCAGGATCTTTGCCTTTGGAAAGGTGAGAGAAAAGTGGGAAGGACTGCATCTTGTGGTTTGAGTGCTAGCTAAACTGCAGTGAAACAGAATGCCAGGTAGATGTCTAAGGTTTTGACTCTAGTCCCTGACTCCCAGATGGCAGCTCTAGACCCACCCAGGGTCTGGGGAACTTCACTGCCCTGAAAGGAAGGACACAGATGTGCCTGGCTTTGCTACTGGCTGGCTGTAGAGTCCCAGGGACTAGAGCAAATACAGGCAGTAGCCAGGAAGTGATTATAGCAGGCATTTGGTGAGACCCAGTGCCATGCTGGGTTCAGGTCTCACCCAGCACAGTCATAGTAGTGATGGCCACAGGGGTGCTTGGGATACTCCACCCTAGCTTTAGGTGGCTCAGAACACAGAGAGAGACTCTTTGTTTGAGAAAAAGTAAAGGAAGAGAACAAGGGTCCTTGCCTGGTAATCCAGAGAATTCTCCCAGATCTTGTCCATGACCACCAAGGCAGTACCTCTATGAGTTTGCAAGACACAGCACTACTGGACTTAGGGTGCCTCCTAAAGCAGATATAGCTTAGATTATAACACCCACGTCCTTTCAAATATCTGGAAAATCTTCCCAAGAAGGATGGGTACAAATAAGCCCAGACAATGAAGACTACAGTAAATACCTAAGTCTTCAATGCCCAGACACGGAAGAACATCTACTAGTATCAACACCATCCAGGAAAACATGACCTCACCAAATGAACGAAATAAGGCACCAGAGACCAATCTTGGAAAACAGAGATATGTGACTTTTCATACAGAGAATTTAAAATAGTTGAGGAAATTCAAAGAAATTCAAGATAACACAGAAAAGAAACCAGAATTCTATCACATCAATTTAACAAAGTGATTGAAATAATTAAAAAGAATCAAGCAGAAATTCTGGAGTTGAAAAATCCAACTGGCATACTGAAGAATACACCATAGTCCTGTTGGATATAGTGAACTCCAAGTTTCTCTTCAAAGAATCAGTATGTCAGTGTTCAGCTCTCTTACTCTTTAATTCTCCATTTTAAAGTTTAACTTCCTTGCAGTTTCAGTAAACAACATTTTCTACCAGTTCTAATTAGTAGTTCATATCTGTTCCCCCAGTCCCCTGCTCTGTCCTGACTCATTACAGTCACCTGCTACAGTCACCTGCTTTGGTCACCTGCTTTGACCTGAGTCACCTCTGGTCACCAGCTCTGACCTGTCCCATAACCGTCTTTCCAGCCAAACTACCCACCCTGTCACTCCACCTTGTACCCCTGCTCTCTTTAAAATAGCTAATTAGAATTAGCTTAGACTGTGTGGTCTGTCTCTAGCCAATAGAGGAATGGGGCTACCTGCATCAGGAATAAGAACCCCTTCCCCACTCTTGTCCATGTGTGCATGCCCCATTGTTCCATCTTTGAGCCGCACCCTTCTATAGAAGTAAATTGCCTTACTGAGGAAATATATATTCAAGTGCTGCTTCTTTTGCAGCACCGAAAAAATTTACATATAACAATTGGTGTCCCATACGGGGACCCATTCCCCTCCAGGGGCAGTCTCTGAATCTCTCTTGTGAGAAGGCATGCCTCTGCTGCCTCGTTACAGTGGCCTCATGAGTGAGAAGTCAGGACCCACTTGAGGAGAGGAATAAGCCCGTACTCTCAGCAATGCAGAAAAGAAACTGGCTGGCAACCTGGGGTAAAGGATCCTCACGTACCGCGATGACCATGCAAACCTGAGCACAGACCAAGGAAGGAAATGCCCAGGAGCCGGCAAAGTGTTTCCTTGGTGGTTGGGACAGACCAAGGTAAGAGTAGCTGTGGGGGAGTGGTGATTCCTTGGTCAGGATATACCAAAGTAAAAGAAGCTGTGAGGGGCAGTGAATTATTCTTTGGTCAAGGTGTCTGTGGGAGTTAAAAAAAAAAAAAAGGCGAGACATTTTTGGTAAGGGAAATTGAGCCTCACCCCCAAAATGGGAAATACAAGGAGGGTAAAGGATAAAAAGGATAAAGCTAGCAACAATATTATTCCCCCTAATAACCCCCTAGGCCTAATGTTAAAATATTAGAAGAATAATGAAGGGACCAAGAACAAGAAAAAGCAGCTGCTGTCCCAGACTCTTCTCCTATCCTTATCGTCTCCCTCCTTATACCTCTGCCTCTTGGAAACTGTCCCAAGAGCCCAGTCACTACCAGCCTGAGTACCCTTCTCTAAAAGGACTTCAACATGAGCTAGAGCAATGTAAAAAAAAAATTCACAACTTCCCTTTCCTATCTTCTTAGGGGAAAAAAGAGGTATGATCCTTAGAGCTGCTATGGGAGCCTAGGAACGTGAACACCCCTCCCTAGCCAAAACATTCCTAGAGCATATCAAAAATTTCCCACCCAAGACCCCTTGGTGGGACAATAACAATGCAGCTCACTGAGAAAATACGCAGGAAAATAAGTTGGTCTAGGTCTCAAGAATCCTTTTGGGCAGGGAATGTTAAAACTTCATTTTGTCACTAACAATTGGCCAAATATTAACAAGAAATTACAAAAAAGAGAGAACTAGAAAGATAAACCTGTAAAAAAGCTTCTAAGAGAGAAAAAAAAAATCCTACAGGAGAAAGACTGACAGAGAAAACAGGAAATCAGAAAGAGAGAGACAAAGAGTCAATGAGAGGAAAAAAAGGGAGAGATAGAAGTAGTAAAGAGAAAGCAATGTGCCCTATTCCTTTAAAAGCCAGAGTTAATTGAAAACCTAAACTTGATAATTGAAGGTTTTCTCTGTGATGGGTTTCTTAAACCCTGTTATTCACCAGTGGTTTACAGTAATAGATTTAAAAGATGCCTTCTGGGCTTGTCTGTTGCCAGAGGACAGGCAGGACCTATTTGCCTTTGAGTGAGAAAACCCTCACTCTAATGGAAAATAGCAATACCAATAGACAGTCTTGCCCTAAGGGTTTGCAGAGTCTCCAAATTTATTTAGTCAAATATTAGAACAAGTCATTTAATTAGCAAAGGTAAATGGAAAATTGAACTTAAACGGATTAAAGGCATCATACTCTTGTCTCTGCTGGAGACTAAACAAGAACTTAGAAAATTTTAGGATTAGTCGGATACTGTCATCTATGGATAGACTCTTATGCCCTAAAAACAAAGCCCTTATACAAAAAGCTAATGCAAGACAGGCCAAACTCCCTCATTTGGCATTACCAGAAATTCAACAGGTGGAAAGGTTAAAACATCTATTAGTTATGCCTCTGTCCTAGCTTTGCCCTCCTTAAGCGGCCATTACATCTTTTTGTCAGCGTAAACAGGGCATAGCCTTGAAAATACTTGCCCAAAGGCACGGAGGCCACTGACAGCCTGTAGCCTTCCTGTTGAAAATCCTTAACCCAGTGGCCCACGAATGGCCCAAATGCATTCAATCTGTGGCAGCAACTGCTTTGCTAATGGAAAAAAGTAAAAACAAAACAAAACTTTTCAAGGAAATCTTTTTGTGAGCATACCTCACCAGGTCAGAACTATCGTTAAGTCAAATAAATAAATAAATAAACAAATCCCAAAACAACAACCAAAAAAAAAAAAAGAAAAAAGAAAAGGCAAAAAGGTAGCTGACTGACTCAAAAATATTAAAGTATAAGGCTATTCTGTTAGAAAAAAAGAAAAAGAATTTCACATTATCCACTAATAATTCCCTTAACCCAGCAGGTTTAAATGGTTCCTTCTGGGTGATTAAGGGAAAAAGA